CCTCTGACCCTCCTCCCTCTCATGCTCTCTGTCTCTCATTCTCTCTGTCTCAAATAAATAAATAAAATCTTTAAAAAAAAAAAAAAAGAAATTTTCCACTTCGCTGAGGGATGAATTTGAACCTCACACATGGTGAGGTTGATGTGTGGGTGCAAGTCACTTAGTGGGCAAGTCAGGCTGGCCGACTGCCCAGGGTCTGCCTCTTAGTGAGGTGTCGTTGGCCGCTACTCTTCCCATCTTCGGCAGTGACTTTTGTGAAGTGGTAGAACTTTGATGAGTGTGTGTGTGTGTGTGTGAGAGAGAGAAAATGCCTCCAGTGCTGGCTGCTAGGGCTGGCAATGGAAGCAAAAGGAAGTAGGGAAGCCTCAGAAACTCATGGTTCTTACTGAAGAGATCACGGGGTGGTCTCTTGAGCTCCACAGTGGCTCCGTAGTGTAGACAACCTCACCATACATTCATTACAGAAATAAGACATACCTCTTTGTGACATTTTAGTGAGTGTCTCAGCCAGCCGAAAAGGTGCTCATTGAGAGATAAAACTTTAGAGAAGTCTGAAAAAGTGCCCTGGGAGAAAGGCAGGAGACTGTACAAACATTTCCAGGAAGCAGCACATGGCCGAGGCTCCAGTGTGGCTACTCAACCAATGTGAGTTTAAGTAAGGGCTGGTTTGGAAGTTTTAAGATGTGTTTTTTTTGGCAAAAGTTGCGGTTAATAGGAATAAACAGGCCGGTTGTCTGTCTCACGGCAGATGGGACTCCTCCTGAGCTAGAGAGGTGCTCGGAGGAAGGGAGGCATGCGTCCCAGGCTGTGAGGACTGCAGGCCATGTGGGAGGTGGCGGCCTCCCATGCTAGATGGAAAGCCGTGTGAGAGACGCAATCAGAGAATAAGGGACGAAGCCCATCAGAGAAGGCCGTGAAGAGCTGGTGAAAAGGGGCAGAGGGCCTGAAGACAATGGTGAAGAATGAGGAGAGGCCACTTGGGCCCTTCATAAATGTAGGGAGATGTTCTGTTAATGCCAAGCTGCCAACATCACGGCCATCCATCAGTACAACAGAGCCTGTTTCAGCGGTTCTAAGAAATCCCCATTGGCTCCATCCCAGGAAATACCCAAGAAGTGGCAAAAATAAAGAGGGATTAACAAGCTGAGTTTTGGTTAAGACTAAGGAAGGAAAAAAAAAAGAAAGAGAAAATGACAGTAAAAGTAAGAATAAAAGGGAAGGTAATAAAAGTGGGCACAAATGAGAAAAAAACAGTGTTTTTTTTTTTCCAAATAGCGAAATGTTAATGAGTTGGAAAACCTAGACGAAACACATTTTTGGAAAAAGGGAAAATGACAAACTTGAATCGGGGAGAAAGAGAAGATTTGATTAGGACGGTGGCCGTTAAAGGCCAGTCCCAACTAGAAGGCCAAGGACCAAAGACGTTCAAGTCAGAGTTAACGTCCTCAGTAAAGATCACCTTCATCCTTTATAGGAAGGTAAGCAGGGAAGCCGAAGCACTAACTTATGTGGTCAGTATAACCTTGTTTCCAAAACCAGACAGTTGCGTGGCAAGCTAATAAAATTTTAGGCCCCCTCCAGTTATGACCATAGATGCAAAGTCCTAAGTATAATGTTAAGTGAAACAAGGGGAGGGTAGGAGATCCGCTGCCATTCATCCTGCTCCCCTCCCCCCAGCACTGACAAACCTGTCTCCCCTTGGTCTTCGGGTTCTGCTTTACAGCTGTCTCGCTGACCTGGTTGCCACCTCATTTTTGTTTCTGAAGACAACACAGTTCTGTTTTGTTGTCAGGGTTTTTGCTGGAAATCCATAAAAGAAGCAGAGAGGGACCTCAAGTGGGTAAATTACACAGGTTCTGAAACCTCGCAGAGTTTCTGTACTGAACGTTCCTGGTTTATATTTACAAACTTCTTTTTGAGATGGTAAGTGAATGAGGATGAGATTCATGTAACCATTCTCCTTCCTTCTGGCCACCTGCTTGCTGCCTGGTTCCCAGTTTGGAGACCTGAAGAGGCCTCCAGGACAGCATGATGGCTTTTCACATTTCCCAGGGTGTCCAGACTGAGCAACCCATCCCACGACAGCCTGCTTCTGCTTCCCATTGCAAGAAAGCAAGTCCGAGGCTCACCTTCCCAATGGAAGCTGTCTTGGATTTTAGAATACAGAATTCTGGGAAAAAACATCTTTTCCTGAGCAGGCATCCCAACTGGTAACAAAGTTGGGTCTTTGGTTCACCCACACTCTCTGTGCTACCTGTTCAGTGAGACTGTAGGAGTGTGAGTCCCATTACTGCCATTCCTAAGAGACTTTTCTGTCATTTCTAGCTTTGAGAGATGTGGGGGTAACCTCTTCCCTCTCTTTTGGCCTCTAGGTATTTGCAAATATTTTTTTTAAGTTTATTTTTTTAGTAATCTCTGCACCCAACATGGGGCTCCAACTCTACCCTGAGATCAAGAGTCACACGCTCTGCCAACTGATCCAGCCAGGTGCCCCTGCAAATAATTAATGATTTAATTGTTCCCTCCCCCAGGAAACACCTGGTTTCTTAAAACTTGTATCATGGGCCAGAAAGACGGGGCATTAGGACAGGGCTTGAGATGGTGCTGTGGGCAAAGGCAGGGTGACATCCTCTTATCTGGAGGATGTGGGAACAGATAAATGAGCCCATCTGGCCTTGGGGATTACTTCTGCACATTGAGACAAGATGGAAATGCATATTCTTACTAGCTCCCTGCCCTGGAGAGAGTTGGGTGAGATGTTGGCTATGTGCCTCCTCTTTTGGAGAGTTGGGAAGTTAAATGTTTCTTTGAAGATTCTCACCTCCCAAATAGACTAGGACTTAGCATTTTTTCCACCAAACACTTACCTCAGAGGGAGCACTAAATACAGCGGCCTAGCAAGTGTGTGAGGGAAAGGACGTAAAATAGAAACGGGTGATGTCTGGGATCTGAACTAACATGAACTCAGCTTGTAAACAAGGACTCTGGAGAAGATTACCCAAGTCCTGCTGGTCTGATGGCCTTTTGTTGAAATTATTTCTGTAGGTCATCACGGCTGGCTCGTCATTATTGCTGTTTGATACGACCCTGACCAGTGCAACGGTGGGATGGTAAGTCTTCTGCACAGAGAGAGGAAAAACAAATTCATTGTTTGGGTTTCATCAGGATACTAATTTTTTTCTCTCAAATGTTGAAGAAAGGGTGTTTGGGGTCTATATTTTATTGACCTGTAAATATACATTCTGAGGAGTACATATATCATGAATATGCAGTTTTATGAATTTTCACAAACTGATTATCCCGAACCTACTATAGCCAGCACCCAGATCAAGAAACAGAACATCACCCGCATACCTGTCAGCCACTCGTCCACAGAAGCGTAAGCACTACTGGTGAACCACTAGTTTTATATAGTTATTTTTCCAAGATTTTATAGCTACTGTGTTTGGACGAGGATTCAAAAGCAGACCTGTGTGTGTCCAAAGTCCCATAACCTTCATGTACCTCCTTAGGACTGACTAGGCAAACACCAAGGATTTACCAGCAGTGGAGGTATAAGAGAAATTGGCCTATATGTTCCTCTTCTCACCAGTATGACCATCTATAAAGAACTTCTAGATAATTCGACAGCAACACAGAAGGAGCGTTACCCAGGACAAGACAGCTCTATTTCTTGTTCAAGGGCTGACATGGTGAACTAAGAATGTCCAGTGAAATGATGATAGGAAAAAGATCTCATTGTCTTAGGTTTTTAAATACTATATAATTCTATCAGTTAGCTAAAAATATTTATTGAGTGACTACTGCATGCAAAATAAGACATCATTCAGCCCTCAAGGAGGGGAAGAGGCAGGGAAATCATAAAGATAATTTATGGGATAAGATAGCCATGGTCTGAATGCACAGCGAACGCGAGGGCCGAAGGAAGGAGAGAGGACGGGCCATCAGGAGGGCTATCGAACTGGCTTGACCCGGACCTTACACAGAACAGAGAGGCTTAGTGAGGCTGTGGGTGGAAGAGGATTTGGGCCCTCTGGCCCCGGGAAGACAGGGAAGGCTGGAGAGGCAGGAGGTGCCCATGGTAAGAGTCAGTGATTTGGAACCAGAGCTGGGGCTGTGGGGCAGGGAGCTAATCCTATGCTCCCTCCTTCTTCCCCTGCACCTGTCCTTCTAGGAAGGCCTGACACCCACAGCGGGCAGGTGATGTCCAGACACCCAACTGCCAAGATATCCTGCTACATTCTTAACACTCTTCCCCAAATGTCTGTATTCTCACCTTCATGGTGGTAGTCTAGATTCTTGACGGTGGTTTTCTTTCTCACGGATGAACCTCCAACAACTCTGTTTTGTACAGAATTTCAGAATGAACTTTAAGAACCCAGGTGTGGAAGTGAGTGTGAGAACTAGCGGAGTCAGATGGCTCTCCGGCAGGGGGGAAATGCTCAACCCGAGTATCTCAGCAGCAGTCTGTAAGAGGCCAAGCCTCCAGGCTCTTTCACATCCTGTGAGCTTTATGGTATGCCCTGCACAAAATGGAAAGAAAGGCTGTGTGTACTCAAATCAAGGAAACAGCATGTGTGATTATTGCAAAAGGAACCTTGACTTTGGAATTTCCTGATTTTTGAGAACTCTTGAGTTTAAGGATGGTGTGTTTTCAGCCTCAAAGAATTTTCCAACCACAGAGTGAGCCACCAGAAGAGGAGTGTCAGACCGTATTTCAGATTTCCTGTCTTTTGCACAGAGCTAGTCTGCACTGGCCATGGAGTGGTGTGCTCAGGCCGAGACTGGGTGACCAGCTCCCGGAGCCGGGGCCCGGGCAGGGCTGCCCGCTGGCTTGTGGGAGCTTAGACTGATCAGAAGTCACAAAGGGCAGGCACCGCAGAACCGTTTTGTTGGGACCTACCATGTTTGCCTGTATCATCGTTTCTTGTTTTTTGGGTCGCAAATTTTAAATTAGTTAACTGTGAGAAATCAGGTGATTTCCCCGTAAGGGTCCAGATTTCCAGATTCTTTTGAAAATGGGGACCAACAGCTACGTTGGGCCTGTACTTCCCCATGGCACCCGTTGCTGGAATAGGTAGAGGCGGCCCCCTTATGTGGGCATGGACTATCGAAGTCAGCACGGCCTCCCCCACGCCAGGCTGGCTGAGACTGGAGGACCCTGTATCAGCTACATCCCAACCTCCATTTGCTCGTATTTCATTTCACAAAAAAGTGTTTGATGGGCTGCGAGGCTACCGACACGGTCTGTGGCCCCAGCGAGGTCACCATCCAGGAAATGAGTGCACGATGCGTCATTATCTACCTTCCTGGGGGCAGGGGCAGCAGCAACTTTAGTTGCACAAAACAGCTCATCATCTAAAGTAGGGTTTTTCAGGGTGCCTGGGTGGCTCAATTGGTTAATCGTCTGCCTTCGGCTCAGGTCATGATTCCAGGGGCCTGGGATGGGGCCCCGCATCGGGCTCCCTGCCCATACGGCAGCCTGCTTCTCCCTCTGCTCCTCACCCTGCTCATGCTCAATCTCTCTCTCTCTCTCTCAAATAAATAAAAATCTTTAAAATAAAATAAAATAAAGCAGGGTTTTTCACCTCAGCACTGTTGATATTTGGGACCAGATAATTCGTTGTAGGGGGTTGTGCTATGCTTTGTAGGGTTTTAGCTGCAAACTTGAGCCCCACCCCACTGGATGCCAATAGCACCTCCTTAGATGTCTCCAGATATTCCCAGTGTCCCCTTGGGAGCAAAATTGCCCCAGCTGGGAATCATGGATCTAAAGGTTTGTGGTGGTTAATGGACAAAATGCCATTCAGAATTTCAGCAAGATCTTAGAAACCTGCTTATCTCCTAAATTGGAGGTTTGGTCAGCTTGCTCACGTGTCAGGTCCTCGGCAGCCCCTCCCACCCTCTCTGCCTACAGCCCCATCAGCTCGCACCACGCTGAGTGACAGGTGGGTGTGCACACCCCATCTACCCGCGGCTGTGAGCTCCTCCAGGAGGGGAACCATAGTCCTGCCCCTGTGCGTCTTTCCACCTAGCCCTAAGGGCTGAATAAATGCGTGGCCAGCCTTCTAACTCCTGTATGCAAGAAAAATTATAAACCTAAGTACCGATGTTGGTCAACTTTTAAAGTCTTTTTTTTTTTTAAGATTTTATTTATTTATTTTGACAGAGAGAGAGAGGGAGAGAGGGAACACAAGCGGGGGAGTGGGAAAGGGAGAAGCAGGCTTCCCGCTGAGCAGGGAGCCCGATGTGGGGCTCGATCCCAGGACACTGGGATGAAGACCTGAGCTGAAGGCAGACACTTAACGACTGAGCCACCCAGGCGCCCCTTAAAGTCTTTTCTGAAAAGCAACTGCTCTTGGGATGCCTGGGTGGCTCAGTCGTTAAGCGTCTGCCTTCGGCTCAGGTCATGATCTCAGGGTCCTGGGATCGAGTCCCACATCGGGCTCCTTGCCCAGCGAGGAGCCTGCTTCTCCCTCTCCCTCTGCTGCTCCCCCTGCTTGTGCTCTCTCTCTCTCTGACAAATAAATAAAAATCTTAAAAAAAAAAAAATAGCAATGAGACTGTAACAGCTATCATTCGATGGGTTTAAAAAAAAAAAAAAAGCAACTGCTCTTGTCCAGCAAATTATCTTGGTTTTAATTACAAAAACAATCTACTGCAAGCCCCAAATTTAAATATCCAGATTAATATTTAATTATTCCCTTTTAATTAACAGAGTTTTATGGTATATATAGATATGAATTCCCTCTAAACCAAAATTTCAACAAAGGGGATCCAACACATACAGAAGAAAAAATTCTGAACTGTGAGCAGTGTCCCTGTTGAGTAGAATTAGCTGTGGGTGCCCCTTCTTTGAATCCTTTTTAGACCAGGAGAGATTCTCTTCTCTTTGCAATAGTTTAGGTACAAGAAGAGAAAACAAATAACCAAAACACAACCTCTTTGTTCTGAGGATTCTGTGATCACTTATCGCCTTTGCCAATCATTCACGGAGCCTGCCATTGATCATGGGTTACCATCCTGCTCGATCTTAGCACAAACCTCACTAACACCAGCAGTCTTTAGAAAGTGGTCTCATACCATCTTTGAGTAACGGTGTCTTATGCCTTTAAGTTTAGGACACTGCGTGGAGACTGCCCAAACCCCTTTATCGGAAGAGTGAATTTAGGGGTGAAGGAAGTACACCCCCCAGGTGCACCCCAGAGTGCAGCTAGGATCACAGTGACTGAAATTTATCAGTTTTCCACTTGAGTTAAAAACTCTAAAATGCTAAGAAGGAAGAGCTTTCTAAATAACTATCACTCATTACCTCTCAACACAGAGTAATTTATCAGAATATGAACTGTCCCTCAGCAAGTCTCCAAGGGAATGGTACATTAGGCAGATATCTTTTGGTGAGGTAAAGAGAAAAAGCCAAAATCGTTTGGATGTTGGATGTAGCTGATACAGGGTCCTCCAGTCTCAGCCAGCCTGGCGTGGGGGAGGCCGTGCTGACTTCGATAGTCCATGCCCACATGGATTTGAATATAGATGGGAGGAGGGGGAGCCAGGATAAGAATTCCTCGTCATTCATTGAGAAAATATGTATTGGGTGCTATGTGAAGTACTGGGCCTCCAGCCGGAACAGGGTGCAGGGTCTGCCCCCCGTCTCATGGTGTCAGTAGGTGCTTGAATAAGCACGGCAGTGAATGTGAAATTGAGTTGGGGCCTCTTCCGATGGGAGGACAGAGAAGGATTGGAGGGGTGCTGAGAATAACCTCCCCCTCCCCGGAAGAGAAGCTAGTGCTGAATCTTTCTGGCTGGGTGTGCTCTCCACCCTGGTGTGTGTGCCTGAGTTGCTTGAAGCGTGTTCACTTCAGGAATGATGGGGATTACGAGATTTGCAAACAGTTCAGTGAGGCTCTGACTTAAATAGTTGTAATGCTATTAAGATTCCTGCACCCTGTGTCAGCTTCTCCTGCTGTTCAGAAAACAACATCAAAGCTCACCTCCCTGGCTCTCTTACCAGTAAACTGAACCGAGGTTTGTTTCCTTTCTGAGCCTTCACTAAGCTGCTTTGGTGTTTCATGCAATAGCTAAGCCCAACGGATGAGATGCAAGGTTATTACACTTGGGCATTGTTCTAAGGCTGTCGGGGGAGAAGGGGCACCGAGCCAGCCCATGGCCTGTTCTTCTCCCTGGTGACTAAGGAGGATTCCTGGAAGCTGTAGAAATGACTGAGCCCCCGGTGATGTTGCAGAAATAAGCCCCTCCCCAGCCCAAGGGCCTTGCAGCCTTTGCGCCAGGTCACTGTGACTCCACACTTGCCCCAGGGGGTTTAAGAAGATGGGTGTGGGGCGCCTGCGTGGCTCAGTTGGTTAGGCGACTGCCTTCGGCTCAGGTCATGATCCTGGAGTCCCTGGATCGAGTCCCGCATCGGGCTCCCTGCT